TGTTATTTGAAGCTTATTTAAATCTAAAATTTTCATCCAATGAATTTCAGTTCGAATTTTGAATATCCTATATGTTTTAGTGACACTATAGCGGATGCACTTAGTTGTCAGTCCTCATACCATATACGATTTCTTAAGCTGCAAATATTAAAATTGATTCAGCATACTTTAGCGCGTAAATTAAGCGCAAAGCGGATAAAAAACGCGCTTTCTATGCTAGTTAAACATAAGTGTGCGCATATCATACAAATGGCACCTAACATGAAAGAACCGTAGATGTTTCTAAGAGAGGGTATGTATACTCTCTCTCGCATTTTCATACTGGATCTATTCTGGTCATGGTTACAGCATGTTCTACTCCGACTTTTCTTCGAGAATATGATATAATCACCTTTTTGAGTTTTCCTCGCTCATACGGACTCTCGCCATGCTGTTACATACTATACTCATTATGCATTAAAACGCATAATGTATAAAAACATTTCACCCTTTTGCACGATGTTTCCGAAGAAAAAACCGGGTAAAACATCATGCAATAATAGATAGATAATTAAGCTCTTCCCAGGAGATCGAAAACGGTCTATTTAATGAGCCATTAATTATCATTTAAATGACAACTAAATGGCTTTTAAAAGGCCGTTTTTAGACTTTGCGGACTCTTTTTATATCATTTTCTGGTCATTTTAATGATATCGTTTTAATGCCCTAACTAGACCGTTTCTACAGAAACTTGAAAGCTTCGAGCTTATTGAGTCCATGTATGAAATGTGCATCAGAAATTTATGACGTATTTACCGATGTCAGGACACTGATCACTGAATTGAATTCCGACTTTGAACAGTATTACAGAAACTTTACACCATCTACAGTATTGAGTCCATATACAGAGCAAACATCAATTTTCGATTTAACAGACGAACATATAACATTCATGTGGTATCAACTAGTGATCGATATTTTACTGCATTCATCTGAGGAAAGTAATGGTAAAAATGAAATGCTAAATGTTTGCCGAATACACTACAGAACTAATGAAACTTACTTAGGCAAAATCGACGAATTTGAACGAACTTATAAGAAAGAAGATGCAATTAGTTGGCACACAAAAGATTCATTTTTATATAAAGTAATAAATTTAGCTCTTCAAAAACAATCTATAAATATAATTTATAAATTTCGTCTTTTTCTCAAAGATCTTTATGATCAATTATGCAAATTACATAAAATCTACCGTCAGATATTATTATGTGATAAAAGTGATACATTAAACGTGTTTCGAACTCAGTGGATAGCCACAGATGAAGTTAAAAAATGTCAGACTAATATTGGCGGTTTGACTGCAACGACAACATTTTTATCAACAAGTTTTTCGTCTGAAGCGGCTCTTCTTTTTATTGCTGGTTATGAAGAGCCAATTGGACGTTCAGATAACACTCCAGTGTTATTTGATATAGATATTGGCACTACTACTGCCAAACCATTTGCTTATCTTCATCAGAATTTGAACAGTGAAACAGAAAAAGAATTACTTCTTTCAATTGAATCGACGTTTCGAACTGAGTCAGTAGAGATAATAAATGATGAAGTACTAACAGTAATAAAACTGATAGCATGCAGTAGTGATGAAGATTTTAATTTGAAAAATAGCAAACAAAATTTTAAGAAAATCTTAGGAATTGACAGACGACATCAGGATATGAAATGGGGCTACCTTCTCTTTGTAATCGGTGAATATAAATTAGCCGAACAGCATTACAAAATTTTACTTGCGAAACTTACCGAAAACGATTTAAATTAATGTTTTTTCAAACGAATTGGAGCTAATTTTAGTCTAGAAATTAATTCTAGTTGATTTTAACTGCAAAATTGATGTAAATTAATTTACTACAAACGAATTTAAATTAATTTGGCCTCTTAAATTGTTGTGAAGTAATTTTTCATCATTTTTTGGGTCAGAAATTAGTTTGCATTAATTTAAGATTATTTAAAAGTTCCAGCAGGTTATGTTAGCTCTTTGTAAGATCTACAAATGAACTTTTTAATGCCAGTTGACTGACATTTTTTACTCCTTAGGGAAAAAACGACCTAAAAGCGGCCTATAGTCACTGTTGTGCGTCGAAAAAATTCTATCATTTTTGGTCATCGCTTTCTGAGTTCTGTTTCAAATTATTCAAATTTTCGGTTACAACCGCTCATCAGTTACAACCGGTATCGGTTACAACCGCTCATCGGTTAACCGTAACCGGTGCATCTGTAACTAAAACATTTAATCTGCCTCACCCGTTACCCAATCAGACAAGCACCAAAAAATAATGCGTAAAGAAGCGTAAAAACTGCGCATTTTTGCGATATCCTTTTCGTTAAAAATTTTAACGCGTTTTTACGCGTTGTTTGCTGAAATATGTAACTTCTTATCCGAATAACACCTACCCTAGAGATCAAATCTTATATAAGATTCCTATAGGAATCTTACAGAATATCTGCAAGAATCTTATAAGAATCTTATAAGAATCTTATAAGGCAGTCGATGGAAATGCGTAATTTATGTATAA